AGTTCAGCGTTCACGTCCTGTCACTTCAAAAAAAAAAAAAACACATCACGCTCTGCGTTTTGTGGCCGTCAGTGCGTTATAAAGTATTCAATCAAACAGGAGTAGCTCAAGCGTTGGCGATGGATGCTCTTGGCTAAATCCCATCTCTCTAATCTGTTTGCTCAGAACTAGGGATGGTTATGCATAGATTAAAAAAAAATACACGGAATTTCTACCTATCTATTATAGCTCTTAGGTCTGAAATGGTCTGGCGAATAGGTCGCTCGACTAGCAATCTGCAGGTCGTGCTTTCGAATCCCGTCATTGAACATGCTCGGCCTTTCAGTCGTATGGGGTGTTATAATGTACTGGTCAATCCCACTATTCGTTGGTAGAGAGTAATCTACGAGTTAGCGGTGGGTGGTGTTGACTAGCTGCCTTCCCTGTAGTCTGTCATTTCAAAACTAGGCTAACGCAGATAGCTCTCAAATAAAGCAAACAACCAATTACAAAACTTTCTACAACCATATATAGAGATTACCGGAATACAATATTATACAAAACTTTCTACAACCATATATGGAGATTACCGGAATACAATATTATACAAAACTTTCTACAACCATATATAGAGATTACCGGAATACAATATTATACAAAACTTTCTACAAACATATATAGAGATTACCGGAATACAATATTATACAAAACTTTCTACAACCATATATAGAGATTACCGGAATACAATATTATACAAAACTTTCTACAACCATATATAGAGATTACCGGAATACAATATTGGTAATATCTATATATGGTTGTAGAAAGTTTTGTATAATATTGTATTCCGGTAATCTCTATATATGTTTGTAGAAAGTTTTGTATGGAATACAATATTATACAAAACTTTTTACAACCATATATAGAGATTACCGGAATACAATATTATACAAAACTTTCTACAACCATATATAGAGATTACCGGAATACAATATTATACAAAACTTTTTACAACCATATATAGAGATTACTGGAATACAATGTTATACAAAACTTTCTACAACCATATATAGAGATTACTGGAATACAATGTTATACAAAACTTTCTACAACCATACATAGAGATTACCGGAATACAATGCTATACAAAACTTTCTACAACCATATATAGAGATTACCGGAATACAATATTATACAAAGCGTTCTACAACCATATATAGAGATTACCGGAATACAATATTATACAAAACTTTCTACAACCATATATATAGAGATTACCGGAATACAATATTATACAAAACTTTCTACAACCATATATATAGAGATTACCGGAACACAATATTACTGAAACTCTTCTACCACGAGAAACAGAGATCACCAAAAATCTTTCTACGACAAAATCAGTGAAACAAAGTATTAGCAAAATCTTTCTGCGACAGCGTAAAAACGTACAGCGTTTGTAAAATTACTTATGTATGCACAATAAGCGTAAAGTTCAGTGTTTGTAAAATTACGGCTTACTTGTGTATGCACAATAAGCGTAAAGTACAGCGTTTGTAAAATTCCGGGTTACTTATGTATGCACAATAAGCATAAAGTTCAGTGTTTGTAAAATTACCGGTTACTTATGTATGCACAATAAGCGTAAAGTTCAGTGTTTGTAAAATTACGGGTTACTTATGTATGCACAATAAGCGTAAAGTTCAGTGTTTGTAAAATTACGGATTACTTATGTATGCACAATAAGCGTAAAGTTCAGTGTTTGTAAAATTACCGGTTACTTATGTATGCACAATAAGCATAAATTTCAGTGTTTGTAAAATTACGGGTTACTTATGTATGCACAATAAGCATAAAGTTCAGTGTTTGTAAAATTACCGGTTACTTATGTATGCACAATAAGCGTAAAGTTCGGTGTTTGTAAAATTACGGGTTACTTATGTATGCACAATAAGCATAAAGTTCAGTGTTTGTAAAATTACCGGTTACTTATGTGCATCATTTTTAA